TTTAATTTAATATAAATGGTTTAATGAAAAATCGCCTTCCACGGTGGCGGGGAGCAGAGGGGACCTGGGGACGGGGAGGATGTGGCTGTGGGGTGAGGGAGAGGGGAGGGGGAAGGACGTTGGGCCCGTGGGAGGACATGGGGAGCATGGAAGGACGTGGCCGTGGAGCCGCATGGATGGGTAAGGCATGTAGGGATGGAAGGAGATGGGGAGAGCAGGTGGATACAGGGATGGAGGAAGGACATGGGAAGGAGTGGGGATGGAGCCATAGGGACAAAGGAAGCAGGTGGCCCTCATTTGGGGACATGGCCACGGGGCAAGGTCACCGTCCCCCGCCCTGGCTGTGTCCCCGCTGCTCCTTTGATCATGTGTAGCCTTATTTTGTGAGGAGGAACAGCTGTAAATCTTCCTGGTCTTTGTACATTTTATTTTGTATTAAAATGGAAAAGCTGCCCTGGTGTCCGGGGTTTACGGAGTGTGTCACGTATACGTGTGCATTGCATACAGGTGTGCATTGGGTGTAGGTGTGTGTTATGTATGGGTGTGCGTGGTGCATGGGTGTACATTGCGCACGGGTGAGCATTGTGCATAGGTGAACATTGTGCATAGGTGTGCATTGCATATAGGTGTGCATTGTGTATGGGTGTGCATTGTGTATGGGTATGCATTGTGCATAGGTGTGCATGGTGTGTCTATGCATTGTGCGTGTGCATACAATGCTCAGAGCGAGCCTGCAGGAAGGGGGAAATGCCCTGTGCCCTTTGCCCTTTGCAGCAGCTATTTTTTGGCCCCCTCGAGGACGACTCGCTTAGTGCAGCTCACTAACTGTCTCTGGCCCTTTAAGACGTGTTAGAGGCCCCTGGCCCTTTAAGGCGAAGGCGGAGGAGCTGCTGGTGCGCATGCGCGCTCGCCCCCCACTGTGCGTCTCCCCTGGGGCACAGCCGCCGGCCGCCATCTTTACTACTACCCGGAAGCACGCTCGAGTTCCTCCCGGAGCGGCCTCAGCCCTTCTCCGAAATGGCGCCCGCGGCGGGGACGCTGATTGGGCGAGCGGGTACGTGGGGGCGCCCCGCGC